GGTGTGTGAGGTGTGTTCACCATACGCGGTGTGTGAGGGCGGGTTCACCATACACGGTGTGTGAGGGCGTGTTCACCATACACGGTGTGTGAGGCCGTGTTCACCATACACGATGTGTGAGGGCGTGTTCACCATACACAGTGTGTGAGGTGTGTTCACCATACACGGTGTGTGAGGATGTGTTCACCATACACGGTGTGTGAGGGTGTGTTCGCCATCTACGGTATGTGAGGGTGTGTTCACCATACACGGTGTGTGAGGATGTGTTCACCATACACGGTGTGTGAGGGTGTGTTCACCATACACGGTGTGTGAGGCCGTGTTCACCATACACGGTGTGTGAGGGTGTGTTCACCATACACGGTGTGTGAGGGTGTGTTCACCATACACGGTGTGTGAGGGGTGTGTTCACCATACACGGTGTGTGAGGGGTGTGTTCACCATACACGGTGTGTGAGGGGTGTGTTCACCATACACGGTGTGTGAGGGCGTGTTCACCATACACGGTGTGTGAGGGTGTGTTCACCATACACGGTGTGTGAGGGGTGTGTTCACCATACACGGTGTGTGAGGGTGTGTTCACCATACACGGTGTGTGAGGTGTGTTCACCATACACGGTGTGTGAGGTGTGTTCACCATACACGGTGTGTGAGGTGTGTTCACCATACACGGTGTGTGAGGTGTGTTCACCATACACGGTGAGACTGTGTGTGTGTGTCATGTCTCCTAAGACGCCTTAGAGGTGCTTGCGACTCCAGACTCTTCGCTGGCTTTGACTCGTTTGCTACCTCTTCTTTCACTACCTTCCCTGGCTCTTCTTTCACTACCTTCCCCAGGCTCTTCTTTCACTACCTTCCCCTGGCTCTTCTTTCACTACCTTCCCTGGCTCTTCTTTCCCTACCTTCCCCTGGTTCTTCTTTCACTACCTTCCCTGGCTCTTCTTTCACTACCTTCCCTGGCTCTTCTTTCACTACCTTCCCTGGCTCTTCTTTCACTACCTTCCCCTAGCTCTTCTTTCACTACCTTCCCTGGCTCTTCTTTCACTACCTTCCCCAGGCTCTTCTTTCACTACCTTCCCCTGGCTCTTCTTTCACTACCTTCCCAGGCTCTTCTTTCATTACCTTTCCTGGCTCTTCTTTCACTACCTTCCCTGGCTCTTCTTTCACTACCTTCCCCTGGCTCTTCTTTCACTACCTTCCCCTGGCTCTTCTTTCACTACCTTCCCCTGGCTCTTCTTTCACTACCTTCCCTGGTTCTTCTTTCACTACCTTCCCTGGTTCTTCTTTCACTACCTTCCCCTGGCTCTTCTTTCACTACCTTCCCTGGCTCTTCTTTCACTACTTTCCCTGGCTTTTCTTTCATTATCTTTGCTGGCTCTTCTCTCACTATCTTCACTGGCTCTTCTCACCATACGTTGTTTATGGCAATGCTGTATTCAGACGTCGGCCATGTGGTATTGCACTATCTTCAAGATATGGGGACCAAAGGTCATATTTCTCAGTGTTTTGGTATTGTGATTTCCTCCAGTGTGATTAATTATTATACCTTATAGTTTTGTTTATAGTTCGGACTAGCTCTAGCTAAGCCTAGGTAAGATGTAGGGAAGATTGAGGCTAGGTGATTTGTTCTGGCTCTTTTGACAGTTATGTGATGTTATCATAGTTTTCCTGTTGACCAATCCACACACTAGAAAATGAAGGGACGACAATGTTTGGGTCCATCCTGGACCATTCTCAAGTCGATTGTGAATGGTCCGACTTGAGAATGGTCCAGGACGGACCGAAACGTCGTCGTCTCTTCATTTTCTAGTGTGTGGTCTGGTCAACATACTTCAGCCACGTTATTGTGACTCATCGCCTGCATAGTTTTCCTCCCTGGTTATAAGTGTGATTTTTTAAATACTTATGCAGCTAAAGTATAGAAAATGGTTCTTATTTCTCCTCAGACTTTACTCTGACCTCAGACAGCTTAGGGAAGCTGTCTTGAAGGTTACTTGGAGGCTGCCGGCCTCTTGTTTAGAAGGGGTCGGCAGCTCATTTACTTGAACTGCGATTCGAACGGGACCAAATCACTGTTTGAGAAAAGTTCGAATGCCATCAGCTGTGAGTAGTGTGAAGTGATTTTATTCATAAACAGGCGGTTTCGGCAGCTGGAGTTACGACCATTTGGCCTTTAATTATGAGGACGATATGCCGTTTTCAGATAGTTTCCAAATTCCCTTTTTATCCAGTATTTTACATATGGTAACTGATTATGTTGAAATATTTATCAAAAAAGGTTTTATTCATAGGTTTTTCCATGTCTTTTTGGCCCATGATTTGTATAGATTTCTGGTGTATGAAAGCCATCATACTTTTTGTCATCTTTCCTTCCAATTCAATTCTACTTCCTGTTGTCCCCTAGTCTGTAGACTTCAGCGTTTCTCAATCGCTTCTTGGACCCCTCTCCCTCAACTCTACGTAAATGAATACCATTGCACAGACCACTGGCTTCTAAAGGGCATCATATCTCCTCAGTGACTTCTACATTTTGGGTAATGACCAAGTCTAGTATGGCTGGTGTTGGGGCTCTCTTCCCTTCCTCTTGTCGGCTTGAGGCAGTGTTGGCTCGAGAATTGTTAACCCACTGCGTCTAATAATTTTGCTCTCCATGTTTATCACTCACGTAGGGATTTCGGTTGGCCAGTGTATTTCCCTGTGGCTCAGATCATCATTAATAGCGTGTCGAGATCACACCATGAGGAGTGTTGTGTCAGGGGCCCACACAGCAGTCCACCTCGTGATTCATAGGTCCACAATGTTATTAGAATATCCCCCAGATAAATATTATTTTGTCGTAGTTTACCATCAAATTGGACCAAAGACACGTCAGTTGGCTCTTAGTGCACCCAGATATAAGTACCCCGGGGGCGGGAGACCCCCCTATACCTATTTTACGTGGCAGAAGAGGGCTGGCGGTACCTCTTCACGCCCTCACTAGCAAGGTCATAGACTCCCATGATCTTTAACCCCCTCAACAAAATCTTATTTAAAAAAGAATGGCAGCTATTTTTTATGAGTTGATATATATACATATAAGCTGCCTTGAATGGGTTACTGGCCCTTCTGCAGTGACCTTCATTGTTATGTAAGCCTTGGGTCCCCTCACAGACTCGCCTCAAGTAAGCTCATACAATGGAAGCTTTATAACAGATTCCCACCTGTTGTGCCCAGGGCCTCAGTGTGCCCACATGCTTCATACAAAGCCACTGCAACTCATTCCCTAACCTGAACACCACCAAGCCTCCCGGTAACCGAAGCAGGTGTACGGCTCCACGCAACAGGTGGAGTAGAAGGAGGTGGCTGGGGAGCAAGGCAGGCGAGGTGTTTCGCTAAGCCACTTAAGGTAACATGCGGAGGTACGACTCCCGTATTCTCCAGGAATTGTAGAAAATGCATCCAAGTTTATACTGACATTAGCTGCAGCAACTGCAGAATATCGTCGGTATTTAGTTTAGTATCCGTATCTTCGGCTATGCAAACAGGTTGTATAACAACAGAACCACAGAGGGATAGTTAACTTTTAAGAGTACTGAGCCTAGCCACACAGGGATAGTTAACTTCGTTTTATGTCCCTAGTTTGTCCTCATATCCCACCTGTCTGTTCTCATGTCCCTTCCAAGTGCTATATAATCATACTACCTTAACGCTCTCTTTTGATATTTACAAGTATTATTCTTTAATTGCATTGAAGTGCAAAATATAATTCATTAGAATACATGAAGGTTAATAAGCCTCACGTCACATTCCAATCAGCCTCTCTCTTTCCCTTCATCTGATCGTCATTCCTGTCAAAGAATTCTAGTACGTTTATCAGCCAGGACTTTCCTCTCTAAGCCCCTGTATCTGTGACGATTACTAGAATGGCTACTTTGTGTTCAAAGTTTGCGAAGGTCGTACTATGTATTAGTTTCAGAGCAATTTTAATGTATACCTAGTTTACTTAGGCTCTACTGTGTATACTGTGCTTATTGAGACTAGCGAGTTTTAAGTTTACCCGCGCTATTGTGTTGTTACTGTGCGCTAAGTTTACTATTGTTAATGTAAGTTTACGGGGACTCTCTTACCATACTGTGTGCTAAGCTTACTGGGTCTACTGTGTACTAACCTATTATGGGAAGTGAGGTCTTGCTATGTATGCCTTCCCTCCCTCACCCCTATACAAGCCTGGTTGTACCGGTTGAGCTTATAGCGTAACTATTCTGACGTTCGAATTCTTTGTTGAATCATACATTAATGTTGTGGATGGAGGTGGCTTCCACAACCTCTTTATTGTATTCAACCTGTTGTCCACCCGACCAGTATTTCTCGATAAATTTCTTCGACTTATTTGCGTTTCGAGCTGCCGCTTATATCCTCTCCTACGCTCTCTTTGTCAACTTCTCTTTGCATCTTTTATGTTGCGATCATGTCCCCCCCTCTGTTTCTTCTCTCTTGGGTTGTGAGGTCCGGTTCCCTCTAAGGAGTTTTCATTGTTCAGACCTCTTAGCTCTGGCACCAGTCTTATTGCAAATGTTTGTACTTTTTTAGTTTTGGTTTTATGCTTTACAAGGTGTGGATTGCAGGCCGGTGCTGCATATCGCAGCATTGGTCTAACATAGGTTATGGAGAGTGGGATTATTGTCTGCTAACCTGACAATTATGATTTCATAATTATCATATAAATTAAGTTTTTATTGATTATAATAACTGGTTGAACACTTATAATTGGTTACATAAGATTACAGTACATAATTACACAAGATAACATCACGTAAACACTATTTAAACAAAATGAAATCACAAACGCGTAATGGATTTATGAGAACGTCTATGGAATAGTTCGATGGCGACCCCGGGACGGGAGTTCGAGCCCATCGAACTGCCCCGAATATGTTCTCATTAGCATGCAGTACGCTGAAGGTGTTGAAGTAACCTGACCAATTATAAATTGATATTTAAGTGCCGTGTTGTGGTTGCAGGTGATCTGGGTGTGCATCCTGTGCCGCAAGAAGCAGGAGCTGCTGATCAAGACGGGCACGTGGATGAACACGGGCCTCTCGCAGCACGGGGAGATGATGCACCTCGACCACGACTTCTCAGGTACGCCGGCGCCTGTCACCCCCACGGCCGACAAGCGCCCCAAGCTGGAGCGCGGCCCCAGCGCCGACGACAACCGGCCGGCCAGCGTGCAGGGCCTCGTGGGGCCGGCGTCAGGGGGCCACCACAACCAGGGGGAGGCCGGGCCACACCACTACCAGGGGGAGGCCGGGCCTCACCACTACCAGGGGGAGGCCGGGCCTCACCACTACCAGGGGGAGGCCGGGCCTCACCACTACCAGGGGGAGGCCGGGCCTCACCACTACCAGGGGGAGGCCGGGCCTCACCACTACCAGGGGGACCCGGCACAGCACCACCCCACCTTAGAGTCGCGGCCTCTCTTACAGCGTTCAGGCAGCGCCCAGGGCCGCGAGCTGCGGCGGCAGTTCTCTCAGGGACGCGGTGGCGGCGAGAGTGGGCGGCCGGCGCGAGGGCGGGCGGTTAGTGAGGGGGGCGAGGAGCCGCCCTCACCTCACGCCCGCGACCGGCCCGTGCCGCCCCCCGAGGCCTTCCGCACTTGCGAGCATCCGGCGCCCTTCGAGCAGCGGGCCGCGGGTCCCGACATCCGGGTGGAGCGGGGCTCCGGCGGGCCAGGGTACAGCCCTGCCTGCCACAGCCCGGGCGTCGGGGGCGCCGGAGGCAGCAGCCCCATGGAGGGCAGCAGCCCCGGCCCTGCCTCCATGGAGGGCAGCAGCCCTCACCCAGACGACCCTCGCCGCATGCACCTGGACCCAGCTGCGGCCCTGGAGCGCTCCCGCGGGCGCCGCCGCACAGACCCTGTCATGAGGAACGACTCGCTGTCGTCAGACCAGAGCGAGTGCGTGCGGCCGCCACCACCCAAGCCACACAAGCACCGCACGCGGGGGCGCAAGCAGCGGCAGCGCTCGCTCTCGTCCTCTGACGAGGAGGTCCGCTCCACCCCCGAGTGCACCTCCTGCGAGGAGCACGAGGCCGAGTCCGAGAGCGTCTCGGAGAAGGGTGAGTACTCGCACTCGTGCACCCTCTGTGTCAACCCCCCTCTGTAATGTCCTGTACCTAGCACCCGCCTCACATGGCTGGCACTCGTGGTGGCCCTCACCCGGCACCGTCCCAGAGTGCAGCCACCAGCACCGGTATCACCCCCAGCCTCCTCACCGGTAACTATACCAGAAACACCAGCACCACTCCGAGGGGAACCGCCTCACCTGGCACTACAGTGGACTTTCCAGTGCCACGTGAGGCACTTCCCCTTTTCTGTCTCTTCACCTGATTGGATTCACTAGAGTGCGCCAACTCATTTGGCACTACCTGGGCTGAGCCACCAGCCCCGCTCTGCAGGCGAACCCTTACCCAGACTTCGTCCATTTTCTAAGACTACATCCACTATGCTTCACTCCTCACCCGTGTATATATATATATATATATATATATATATATATATATATATATATATATATATATATATATATATATATATATATATATATGCAACAATGATCACAAAAACACTGATCCAAGTATGCAGAAAAACCACATGTGAAAAATAGTCACTTTCCTGATTGAATCCTTCATTCTACTTTGCTCTGATGAAGGCGAAGTAGCCGAAAACGCGTTAAGCATTCTCTATTTTTCCCATTTGGTTTTTCTGCATATATATATATATATATATATATATATATATATATATATATATATATATATATATATATATATATATATATATATATATATATATAAAATAAAAGACGGATATAATGGGAACTGATGGTGTCCGGGTCCCTTCCCTCCTTTCTTCCCACTCAGCTCTATCCCCCCCTTCCTTCATCTCCCCCTCCCTCATCTTACATGCTCACTACATACTCCCTTCACTGTATATGCTTCCTTCATAACCATAGGCATCATTCTTCCTCACTATTTTCATTACTGTAAGCCCCTAGTGAATTCAGTTCACTGTTATCAAGTAAATCGTGAAAATGCGGTGTAAACTCTACGGAAAGCACATCAACTATTTCATTTTAGACTTTGTGAAAAATTGCATGGAAGGGGGTCGTTACAGGCTGAAATTTCTTAAAGTATTTAACTTAGGCCGACCACGACAAACCTATGTTCACCCCGATCCCCAGACCACTCCTCTGCAAAGGTGGTCAAGGCTAGCTCCAAGTGTCTGATCTTCAATTTAGACAGACAGACAGTCTTGTAGTAAATGGGGTTATCCGTCGTTGCCCAAATCTGTCTGGCCCCCCCCTCACTCTCTCTATCTCTATCTAGTAATATCTTTGTGCTTCTCCTCCCTCCCCCTGCATCTACTCTCAAGAAGTACTAAAGCAAATATATGGGTCTCAAGTGCTCTACTTTTTTTTTATCTTTTATGTCTAAATACATTTTTTTTATTAATACATGAGGTACATCTGCATTAGTGCAGCTACCCTAGACTATATGAAGTGGTGTACAGTGTGTCAAAAAATGCTAACTAAGTGATGCTAAAAAGTCCCCATCACACAGGATGGTTAGTCATGCATGTGATAGGCAATCTGCACTGGCAGACTCCGGAAGCATTTTGAGGATATCAACAACACAAGATTGAATAAGGCAGCAGTGGTAATAAGTCCCCATCCCGCAGGATGGTTAGTCATACAGGGCCATATGTTTAGTAGCCTGCACTGGCAAATTTTGGGTACACTGTGAGGGTATCTTCAAGAATACGAGAATGAATAAAGTAATTGCAAAGCTGCAGGTACTTCATGCCTACTGGTCTGAAAGGTCTAATAACTAGGCATTCGGTGCTGCAGTGCGGGAGATCGTGCCGCAGTTCCTGCTCACAGAGTTTGCAACTGGAGTGCTCAGGATTGGGAGATCCGTCACCTGCCACAGGTAACGGTAACCCAACTTGCACTGTGCGACACAGTGCAACCACTGTGTCGCACAGTCTGGTGGACGTTTTGTACTTCCCATAGATATAGGTTTCAGATCTGAACAAATCATAGCTTTTTATACTAGTACTTTCAGGTCGTTGGGAGTCAGTAATTTCTTTCCTATCAGACCTGATTGTTTGGACCAATACAGTTTTAACAGCAGAGATGGGGATACCTAGATCTAATTCAACTTCATCCTTGTTACACGCTAATTTAGCTGCAATATCTGTCTCATTATGATGGGTTATATTTATGTGTGAAGGTATCCATACAAAGGAGATTCGAGACCCTTTACTCTGTGCAGCAATTAGGTCATTTATAATTTTAAGTATGAGGTTCTTGCTGTCGATCTTCCAGAAGTTTTCGATTGCCTGAAGAGCAGACTTTGAATCACAAAATATTCCTCCTCAAATGTTTTTTAATGTACTGGTAGCTAGTTGTAATGCTGCTAGTTCTGCTTGTGTGGAGGTCAGCCAGTTGTTTAACCTGACACTGACAGTCTTTGTGCAAATATTATTTCTATAAAACCTATATGCTGCTGCAGTCCGTCCAGTAGAAGATTGGACTGAGCCGTCGGTGTAGACACAGTGCTCGTAAGATCTTAAATTCTCGATGGAGGAGGCAATTGTTTCAAGTGTGACTGCTTTGGGAAGAGCAAGATTCTCATTATCATTCTTTGTGACAGGTGTGTATGATACTTGAATGGTGGGGGTACAGATAAAGAGGAATATCAGAGACAGGTAGATTGCACTTAAAAGGTATGTTAAGTTTAATGTGATTGTAGGCATTGTTGCTCAGCCATTTATCATAAAAGGAGTGAGTTGGTATGTCGGCACCAGTCAATAGGGTGTTAACAGCCCTAAATAATTTGTCTCTGAGCAATGCAGGAGATGTAGGATCTCTCATGACTTTAAGGCAAAAGGTAGTGTTAACTTGCATTATTCTCTCTAGTATGGTTGGAAGCTTCAGTTCTTCCCTCATGTTGATGATTCTTGTGCATCTTGGGGCACCAAGAAGTATCCTCATGGCTTCATTCTGTACTACTTCAAGTTTGTCCAACACAGAGGAGGGGAAATTAATTAAGTGCAAAGCATTATAATCAACGAGAGATCTAACAAACGTCATATAGAATAGTCTAGCATATTTAATATTGATACCAATATTCTTACCAGTAAGTGTTCTCAATGGTTTTACTCTTTCTTTTAACCTACGGTGTAGATCGTTTACAATGTCACTGTTAATACCAACTCCAAGGTATTTGTGCTGCCCACACGTTTCAATGTTCTGTTTGTTGACATTGAAAGTTATAGGGACATTAGTTTTCTCTTTGGGATGGAGAATTCTGGATTTAGTTATAGAGATAACAAGACCACATTCAATACTTTTAGCAGCGAGTGAATCAAGTAGAGCTTGCAGTCTAGTTTGGGAATTTGCAACAATGCATATGTCATTGGTATAACAAATGACGGCTTCGTCAGGTAGTGTGGGAATATCAATTGTTAATTTGTGCATCAGAACATTGAACAGCGTAGGACTTAGCACTCCACCCTGGGGTGTACCCAACTCAAAGAGTGCACAAAGTTTACTTTTGACCCCCTTGAAAAGGACTGAGGCGGTTCTGTTACTCAGGCAACCCCTGAGCCATGTCAGCAGTCTTCCCTTAACTCTAAAAGAGGCTAGTTGTTCTAGGATTATTTCTCTGCTGTATCAAAAGCAGTTTGGAGATCAATAAATGCCGCCTGAGAGTTTGGTCCCTCTTTGATAAAATATTCAACAAAGCAAGTTTGTGTGCTTCTTCCAGGAAGGAAACCATACAGGTTAGGGGCAAGGTGGGGCTTGATTTGAAACATTAGTCTGTCGATAATAATTCTCTCAAGAACTTTACACATGCACGACGTCAAAGAAATGGGGTCTGAATTTTTGTGAATTTAGCTTGGGTATGGGTATTATGAGTCCCTGTGTCCAGCGGTCAGGTAAGACACCCTGTCTTAGACTTTGAACAATTCTAGCAAAGGGCTATTTGGCAGCTCAGCAAGTACTCTCATGGTGTTGTATGTGATGCCATCCTCTGCAGGAGAGGTAGCCTTACCTTTCTTGAGTGCATTTTTAATTTCAAAGGGGATTATGCCATAGTAATACATTATTGTTTCTTAGATGTAACAACTCTACGTTAATCACACACCACATCTCACTTGATGAAAGACTGAAAAATACTTGTGATTTTTATAATCACTTATATTTCTTAAAGCATTGAACAGGCCTACCCCGACCACGCTCTACGTCTCTAACATGTCTCCCCGAAATCTACGTCTCTTAACACCTTCAGTGTTCTTAATCTATAAGAACGATACATAATTCCTGTGAATTAACTGTGTTGTTATCCACTGAATGTTTTCAAGGGAGTTAATCTCCAGCCTGCATATACGCCACCACTTGCGAAACCTGTACACCTTTCCTCAATCATGGCGGCTTAGTTTTAATTTAATAAATAATTTACGAGCTCTGAATCCTCACAATCCCAGGTTGTTATTGTTATAAACAACTTCGTAGTTAACGAGCAGCTTTTGGAGCTAATTGACTGTGTAATATATGTAAACAAAGGTGCCATCATTGAGAATGATGAAGTGGTTTCGTAGGTTAAGGTGAATGCTTGATTGTGAGGCCTTATCAGCGCTTGGTAGAATCCTTGGTGTTATAGTGAGAGGGTAAATTGATAGTTGTCCTCTAACTACTGGGTATGATGTCACAAAGTGCAGTCTTTGGGTATGGTGTTTCTTGGGGGCGATGTGGTACTTCAGAGAGTGCTACGTAACTAGGAAGGTAACAGGGGCATCAAGGTGAAAGAAACATTTTGCCCATTTGTCTCATCCTCCACCGGGGATCGAACCCGGAACCTCAGGACTACGAATCCGAAGCGCTAACCACCCAGCTGTCAGGTGAATGGAGGAATTTGCTTCATCGGTTGGATAAGTAACAGTTCGTGTTAGTGATTGTTCTACTGTTGAATTCTAAAATCGTAACCTTTAACCCTGAATCCTTCTCCGTGCACTCCGAGCCTCATCTGGCGCCTTATCACAATCCTCGCGA